AAATGTGAGAGAACCCCTAATTACCATGACAAAACATCTTAATAATATTACATCAAATGAAGAAAAAATGATAGCCATAATGACTAGTGATAATGAGTCAATTATAATAGAACTGTCGAAATATTTTTACAACTGTTTCAATCTGAGAGAAGAAAATATTAAAAAAAAACAGTATGTCATCTGCCTCAAAATCTAAATTGTTACATGTATTTTAATTTTATTTAATGTGTTTAATGTTATTTTTTTATTTTTACTTCTTTTTTTTTTCTATACTTTATTGTACACTTTTGTCAAGATCCTAATAAGGATACGATTACAATAAAGATTATTATTATTATTTACATACTACAACAAACTACAGACTCCCTAGCATCATTGTCATTCTTAATATATTACATACTACAACAAACTACAGACTCCCTAGCATCATTGTCATTCTTAATATATTACAAATTTAGTTAGTAATTATAGTAATTTAATGACTGATGCTCTCAATTTAAGTTGTATAGTCTGGCGACAAGTGTCATAACAATTCAAACTCAGCAACATGCACGTACTTGTTCATGAAAGGTTGGATTGAAGATGAGTTTGGTGAGACTCGTCCTTTGACAGGATCTTGAAAAGTACCCAGATAGTTAGCCATAGTAATAAAACATATACCAGTGATATAGGCATCGTAGCCAGCTTCATGCAGCAAGTTGGTTTCTTTTTTATAGTTGGGAAACTTTGATGGAATCTCTGTATAAATAGAGAAAAGAAAATAAGAGATTATCATTAATACAAAAATAATATTTGGAATTTACACATTTAATCTTGATTTACCATCCCCAAAATGTGATTAGAGAAGCACTTTTAATATACATAGATATTCTCTGCAACGACATATAGAAATGAATGTTGATTATCATTGTTTTGGAGAATTTATTTCAGTATGGATTTCATTCATAAAAATATTGATGCTGAATTGTAAGAGTGACGGACATCAAGTTATGAGCAAGGAGTTACAAAAATGATCACGCCCATATTTTAGATACCATGCCCACTTTTGCGAAACCACACCCAAATTTTAACTTGATGTTCAATTATCAGTTAACAGAACGCCGAGTTACGAGCAAGATACATTGTTACTGTTGTTTAATATCCACATTTAGTAAACTTTAATTAACAGTTAACCAAAAAATGGATTTTTTTGTTTTGTTTAACATGTTATGTTTTTCGTAACTTAAAGTGGAAGGGTCATCACCTGCGCACATGCGTGAATTTAGTTTCAAGCGATGCTAACAACACAAGCTAAAAACCCAAAGGCTCATGGGTAGACATTTGTTTGTAAACAATGACATGCTAAGGCCATCTGACACATGCGCATGTGACGACTCCCCCGCTTTAAAATTCAGTTAACCAAGACATCACCACGTCACGTTTGTTGATTTACAGAATTCAATAACATTAAATGAGCTACCAGGCATTTTTTACCCAAAATATAAAAAAAAAAACAGGAGGTAACCCAAAGATGTCTTCACATCAGGAAGAAGATGAAAATGTAAAGGTGAAGCCAAACAAATTTATAGATACTATGCTTCTGTGTTGAAATTTTTGGACAAAATGGACATTATTTTCTTTTGGCTACAGATCTTCATAGAAATTTTGAAAAAAAAGACAGACAGCAGTATGACATTAGCCTCATTTTGTGCTCTGCAGACAGAAACGAATACTGTAGAATACTTTATTTTCACTTGGAATTTATTTTCGCTATTTTCACTGAAGGGATGACTCCGTGAAAATAAAATCCAGCGAATATACTTTTTTTCCTATATTTCACATTAAACTCTTCAGAAATCAGTGAAAATAAATTCCATACAAAACGCCCAAAAAGCCTTTTCAGCGAAAATTAATTCCAGCGAAAATAAAATATTCTACAGTATTAAACAATGTCACGAATGTCAAACATTAAATCATGTTTATGTTGTATGTCGTGATGGTGGCGTTTTGTGTTTGTCTTACGGCGATAGATAGGCAATGTTGTTTTTGGCGATAGATAATTGTTAAATATAGAGTGGCAAGATGTTTCTTTTAGTCAGCACTAGAGAAGCGGACTTTGATGGAACCCTATCTGAACGTTCATATGTGACCAAATGTGGATGTCCGATCTTGTAGGTACCACAGTAAGCCATTGAATAATATTGCATCATGGGAGTTTGTGATCTATTCTGGAGGACGTCGTTTCGCCGTTGCTGGCAGTATACCATTTTTTACGTGTCTACTAATCACGCGTTTGCAAGTAACGTTAGAACAATGCACTGTGTATTGTCATACAAATTAATGTATTGTGATCTACGGAATGTGCATCATAAGGATAATTCTATTGGCCGATTCCGGCCTACTGCAGTTAACGAGTGGGGAAACTCGCCAGTGAATGACATTCCCGATTTTGGTTCTGAACTGGATGTGCCTTCTAATTTATGTTACTGGCTACGGAGGTGTACTGCGGTGCAAGGGAA